GAAACGCGGGATTAACGGTAACGTCTTCCCTTTTCTTTCTTTTCTTTATTCTTTATTATTAATGTATTTTCTGTCTTAGGTAGGAAGACGATTGAACTTGGTTTAGTATACGAAGCAATAGGGACAGTTGAGTTCAAATGGGTGCGTGTACGTCAAATTTAGCTGTATGTGGACTTCTGCCTTCATTTTTGTTTTCTAATCAATTCTAACTTCATTTTGGCCGTATATAACTCGCATGTATATCTTATTTATTTTGTTTAAAAAAATCTGTCAGTGTTTTTTTTTTAATATATGTATGTTATGGAGTTTATGACTCTCATTATATTGAGAAGAAATAAAAATCTGCTGATAGCATAATCCACTTAAATTGGCCTTAAGGTTATTATTATTATTATTATTATTATTATTATTATTATTATTATTGTTATTATTATTATTATTATTATTATTGTTGTTGTTGTTGTTGTTATTTTATTCATATTTGACAATGTTGATAGATATACAAATATATTAAGAGGAACGTTTGTTTCAAGCTTTATTGATCAACTTGTGTGGTAACTTCCTGAAAGCATTAGTATTCAACAATCTCACAACACCAAACATTGATAAAGGTTTGAGCATTGAGGAAAAGTACTGGAAGAGTAATTAGGAAATGCAATGTTAATAAATTAGGAAAGCTAGCGGAGTCAACTCATCTATATGTTTATATATATAATATATATTACAACCTCAATGTTTTACACGTAGGATAATAATTAAATTTTGTAACATCATTTCTTTTATTTACCATGAAATTGGGTTAACTTGCCACGTATTGAGATGTGATCATTAGGTGCCAAAAAACCAAAATGGCTTTCTGAATTTTAATAAGTGATTAAATTATGATTTGATACCACCAGTCATCACCAATCATGAATGGAATCAATTTTTTTTTATTTCTATCACTTTTGTTGAAATAGAGATAGTTAATCACTAGTTTCTATTCCCAAGCATGCACTTTGATTCCCTTGGGATAAGCCAAATTAATTCTGCGTGTAGAAATAATTGGGAAATTAATGACAATATAAATATTTTGATAAGCAAGAGGAAGAGAATATCACCCTCAAAAAAAAAAAAAAAAAAAAAAAAAAAAAAAAAAAGAGGAAGAGAATATCATGCATAATAACCTTGCATTTATCTAATGTATGGCGCTCAATGTATTGGCTCTTCTTTATATTTGTGGTTTCATTTCTTTATTCTCTTTAGATAATTATTTGAAAATTGAAAGGCAAATTTCACAAAAAAGAGTGATCATTTGTCAACTACTTATTCATATTGAGACTTGTCTAGCTATTATATATGTCATTCGGCAGCATAAATAAAGTAGATGCCCAACTTTTAGTTCCCAATTATGGAAATTATTTTTTGCTAATCAATTATGAAAATTATTAAAAGCTAGCTTTTTACTAAAACCATCCATTTGCCTCATTTATTTTCATTCAACAACTGAAGAATTTCATCTTAATGATTGTACACCACAAACCATAACCTAAGGGAATATAATCGACATGTTATTGAGATTCCTATTAATCCAATAGTAAATGTGTGATCAAATTGAGTAATTAATAACAAAAAAAAAAAAAATGAAAGTAAATGGACCTCAATTAACACTAGAAGAGGAACGACACATTATAAGCACAAAAATTTCAGTATATGAGTCAAACTGGCAAAAGATAGAGTGGAACGTGAGCTTCAAATCAGACTACATATATATTTGTTCTGTTATTATATTAAAAAAATCTATCTTGAAAAATAAAAACACATATAACATTTAATTTTATGATTGTCACGAAATTACATGGTATGTGTAGATGGTAAAATCTACAATTAGAGAAATTTAAGGTTAATAATCGCGTTAGGAGTTGTCGATTGGTGAAATTAATCCGTTGTGAGAACGATGGCGTTAGTAAACGTAAAAGTAAATGAAAATAGTAAAAAGATACAATGAATTATAATGGTTCCCCTGATAATGCAGAAAAAATCCACTGCAGGGCTCTGGTGGTTTCACTATGAGTAATAAAAAGCTTAAAATGAATCGTTCTGAGGAGAACGGGATAAGAGAGAGAGAAATGGATGCCGAAAATTATAGTAAATAGTTAATGAGCATCCACGAGTTGTTTCTTGATTCTCTGCGTGATATGCCCTTCAATTCGTGATATTTCTTTCCTTTTTGGGTGCTGCATGACTTTCCTTAACCGATTTTGTCCATAATCGACTGGTCAACCATGGTTTTTTGCTCATTTTGAGTTAATCCGGCCTCTTTGTTATCAGATTGCTGGAGATATAGTTTTCATATGTGGAAGACAATCAATTTCGACCTGTGAGAGGGTTGCTTACGGCCTAATCAACCATTGACCTTTTTCGTCATTAATTCATCTAGCTTGAGCAGTTGATTTCTTTTCTTTTCTGACTGATTCTGTTGCCAAATCCCCTATAATAAATGTCTTGAGGATATTCTCTCGTGACTTTATGTCCAAGACTTTTCGTCAACTCGTGGGATCGACCGGTAGAGTTAACGAGTCAACTAGTCGATTCTACCTGCTTGGGGAGTCGTGCTGACTCATTTAGTGACTTTCCAAATCTTAAGTTGCCACGTGCACGGTGAAAGATGAAGTACGAAATCTGACCTCAACCGTATAAAAAGTTCATTTACGAATTCATAATGAAATATAGTTGGGGAAAAAATAGTTTAAAAAAAATTAAAGAGAACATAAATTAGTCACGAGATAGGATGGAATTGGTTCTTTCTTTCCTCATATTCCTTCATATAACCTTATCAAATTAGCATTCTTAGAAAAGAAAAAAAAAAAACCACGAATACATATATGAGAAAGGAATCCAGTACCACTCTCCTTCTCTTTCTTATCATTTACGATAAAATCGACATATTAATAGTCTATTTATTCACGAGTTTAAGTCAGTAATTTTAATTTCAAATTCAAATTATGTGAAAGAGCCATTAGCAGAAATTTTGATAATACAAATTTTTTATGAAAAAAAAGTATTATAGCAAAATCAAAATCATATGTTCAGACATGTGAAATAAATGGGCCTTAAATTTCTCTCATATACGTATATTTATCAAATCAAATATCAAATAGTTTCCTAAAAACTCATGGTGCGTGCATATATCTTCATGTGATTGAGACTAAACTATATGATGGAATCTACACGTAAGTGGGACTCGTTAAGTATAAGGTTTTACGTTGCTCTTGGTATTTCTCAATCTTAGTATATGCACGTGTCTGTAATTCAAAAGCCACAAACATAGAAATGGAACTTCTAAGGTTAATTTTCCCTTTGTATAATTTGCTTATTGTTTATTTATTTTGCCAATAATCATGAAACTCCAAGGTTTCGTTACAAGTAAGAATGTATTACCCACCGGCCACCCGATAAAGACTATGCAGGATTACAGGTTACCCAACCATAAATTAGTTACTAGGATTATTTTTCCACCCTTGCAGGTTTTTTTTAAAAAGAAAAAAGAAAAATATCACTTTATTAATCGTGAAGTAACTGCTATTTTTTTTTTTTTCCTTTCCCGAAACATTATTGTATCTTGTCACACAATTTAGCTTCTTTAATTTTCTTTAATATGATATTGAGAACTTGAATTTATAATAAAGTGAGGAATGAAATTACCGCAAATATTTCTTTTTTGTAATTTATTTTATATTATAGCTGTTCTATAATTCCATTTGCTAATCAAGCTCTTTTTCAAAAAAAGAAAAAATAAAAAATAAAAAATCAGGAGAATTGAAATCGCAACACGAATCTTTGGAGTTTGTTTGGGAGTAAGAAGTGAGAAATATT